AGGGTCCCACATGTTTTCAGGGGAGACCCATGGAGATAAATTAGTGGCTTCATCCCCAAAGTGTTTGATATCTTTTGGTTTCACTTTCAACCCTCTGGTTTTAAGGAGCACCTTGAGTGCTGCTGTTTGTGGTTCCCTGCATTGTGGTGGTAAATTGCCCATTGTGGGAAGGTCTCATGAAGGGGAATTCGCCACAAAAGTAGAAGCCAAGGGTGACTACCAAGAGGGCACAAAGGAAGCAAAGAAGCACCGTGAGCCACTCAGATGTAAACCGCCCTGACATGTAAAGGTGTATAGGATCCAAATGTCTTGTGCTCAGCGAGGGACTTCTGGAGGCCATGACACCTCCGGCCGTATGCTCACACGATGTCTCCAGGACAGGCAACAGGGTGACCCGAAGCCTGGGCTCTGAGTTTGGGGTGGGTCAGCCCTTATGTGAACTCACTGGGACAAGCCAAGAGGGGGTAGGTGCCGATGTGGGCTTCGGGACCACATGGCGGAGTGTGCCTCCCTGATCTAACAAACTAGTCCAACAATAAAGATGACAGACAGGGTGGAGGGGACAGAGGAGGGGGCTACTCGTTTACCCTCAAGCAGCCGAAGAAACAGACAAATCCAGGGGCCTACTTACCGAACAAACCAAAGTTCTGGGTGTCACCAACACCGTGGGCAGGGGTCCCTGTTCAGGCACCAGGTGTTGCAGGTTCTCCTCAGGCCAGCTGTGAAGACCCTAACCTGGATCGGGTCCCCTGCAGATTGGGAGGGGGCAAGAGGCACGGAGTCATGACACACAGACCCCGGGAGTCAGGTAGAAGCAAGCATTAGCGGAGGTGCTGCAGGATTGTTTAATGCAGGAGGGGGCAGGCCTTATATTTCCCTTTTCTCCGCCCCCAAGTCCCTTTAGTCAGCGTATCATTTTCTGATTGGTCCATGCCACATAGTCTGTCAGCAGTCACTGGGCTCATGAGCAGGGTACAGAGGTGTGGGCTCCTTTTGGTGGGCTATTTGCGGACCAAGAAGTGAAATGAATTCTCGCTGAATCCCAGGGCTCTGGGTCCGTGCCATCTTTGGAGGCCTCCTGCTACACAGAACATATATTTTTAGGTTGTGCTGAATATTCAGGCAGAGAATCACTGAAATAGGCTAGACTTACAGATAACACTTGCCTGTCCAGTGCTACTAATTACAGTGAAATGCTTTCTAAATTCAGATTAGTCATTGTGAACTAGTTCTTCCCTCCCTTCCCTCCTCCCTTCTTTCTTTTTTTAAATTAAATTTTATTTATTTTGTGTGTGAGGGTGTGTATGTATGTGAGTGTTCACCATGTGGGCCCCAGGGACTGAACTCAGGTCATCAGGCTTGGCACCAGGAGCCTTTACCCACTGAGCCCTCTCACTTGCCCTGCTTTTTGCCTTGCATTTTGTTGCTTTTGTTTCTGTTTGGGTTCTGGATATTGAACCTCCATGGTAGCCTGTGTTGCTAAGCACACTGTACCACTGAGCTACATATCCAATTTTGCCTTTAGAATTCAGCATAATTTTAAAAAACTTTTTCACTTTTGCTATTTAAGTGTTCCCAGAAATTTAAAAAATATTATTAGTGACTAGTGTATTTAACATTCTACTTTATAGAATTGCCATGAAAGTTAAACAGGGTTAAATGAAATATGCCCACACTGAGTAAATGCTAATACATTCTCGTTTATTCCTTCTTTCCATTTGATCTCTCCATGTGCCCTTGGAAGATGATACACACGCATAAATAAAATTTAAAAATTAAAAGAAAAGTTCGTGCTGTGCTAACAAAAAAATGGTTTGTGATGTGCTGTTAAGCAGGGCACTTTCTCTCTTAGCAAGCAGCAGAGTGTGGGATCTATGCTGGCCCTTAGAAGATTCTCTGTTCTGGGGTTACAGTGAAAGGCTGTGCCATGGGGAAGATCGGAAAATCGTCCTGAAGAAAGGCCCACCCAAGGCAAAGATTGCAGACATGCCTCTACACTCACCTCTCTCCAGATACCAGAGCACTGTGATTTCCCATGGCTTCAGGAGGTGGCTGATCTGATGAAACACGGTGAGAAGCTGAACTGGGACCTCGCAAGGTAGCAGGACACTTACCTAATACACATGAGGCTCCATTTGATCCCTACTACTGCTAAACAGTAAAAATGAAGAATAAAATGATATTTCAATCTCTTGGTCTTCCCCACTGTTTCTGGTAAGGGTTTAAGTTCGCTGCATTTCACCTACAAGTTCGAATTGTTTGATTATTGTAAGTCAGTAGCATCATTTGTAGATCAGAGAAACTTTAGAAAGGACATCACTTTGAAGACTTTCCAAGATAGAGTGGGAGAGGAAAGAAACTGCTTATACTGACACTGATTTCACTCCAAGTAGAACAGTAGACTGGTTCGCCCTACTATCAGATCCCACCACAGCCCTCTACCCTTTCCTCCTCCTCACCCCCTATCATTCATGCTTACGGAGACTTCATGTTAGATAAGCCCAGCTGAAATCAAGCTACAGAATGTGAAATTATTTTTGTAACTTTCCTGACTGCACTCCCTCTTTTTTCTGACCTACCCCTCCAACACACATACCTCTCATGTTCTAGACCATAATCAATCACCATGGTAATTGGATTGTTTGGAAGACAACTCCATCACAAGTCACAAATCTTTAACAGAGATATACTTTGGGTTGGTTCAGCATGTATGAGTATTAATTTCATACAGCCAAGAATTGCTTCACATTATTTACGATTATCTTTTTGTTGTTGTTGTTGGTCTTTTTGAGATAAGGTCTCCCTGTAGCCCCAGCTATCCTGGAACTCACTATGTAGACCAGGCTGGCCTTGAACTCACAGAGATCCACCTGCCTCTGCCTCCCGAGTGCTGGGATTAAAGGTGTGCGCCACCATGGCCGGCCCTATTTACAATTATCTTTATTCTCATTTGTGTGTAGTGTGTATGTCTGTGAGTGTCTACCACATGTGTGCAGGTGCTCACTGAGGCCAGAAGAGGATGTCAGGTCCCCTGAAGCTGGAGTTGCAGACAGTTTGAATTGCCCAACATGGGTACTGAGGTCTGAAGTTGGAAGAGTCTGGAAGTCTGGAAGAGCAGCAAGTGCTCCTAACTTCAGAGACATCTCTCTAGCTCCTGATTTACATTATTTAGTAGCATAAAAACAACTGTCTGAAAATTACTGTAGAAGGCAGTAAACAATGTGGTGGTGCCCATCTATAATCCTAGTATTTAGGAAGTAGAGGCAGGAGGATCAGAAATTCAAAGTCATCTTTGACTATATAGTGGGTTTGAGGCCATCCTGAACTACATGAGACCCTGTTTCAAAACAAACAAACAAACATAGAATTAGCACATGATTCAGTAATTTCATTCTTGAGTATATACTCAAAAATATTGCAAGAAGGCATCTGGATAGGTATTTTATGTTCATAGCAACAGATTCACAATAGTAAATGTGGTTTTTTTCACAATAGAAAAAAAACAAGGTTTATATATGTAATGGTATATTATTTAGCCCTAAAAAGAAATGATCTGCAGACACATGCTACAACATGAAGGACCCCTGAAAACATGCTAAGGAAAAGAACCCACACAGCCTGCTTGTGCCTCTCTCCCTCCACCTAAAGAAGAGAGAAGGGGGTTGTCTACAAGCTGAAGGGAGGCCCTCACCAGGAACACACTGCTGACACCTTACTCTTGGACTTTTCAGTCTTCAAAGCTGAAGGGTGACTTGCTTATGTACTTGTCCTGTCCTGTTATAGCAGCCCAAACTGAGACAGCAGTGTGTTCGTGCAGGTCACCTACTGGAGTCAGTTTTGTTCACATTGAAGAACCGCTTTCAGAGTTTTTCAGACATATCTTTTATCAACAATTTAGATTTTGCTCCTCTGGAAAACTTCTATTTCATCATTACCTATGTAGTTTGGCAGTACTGGGGATTGAACCCAGCCTTGCACATGCTAAGCAATGAACCACTGAGCTATATCCTCCTCTCTTTTTCAAGTTGTATTACAAGATGTCAGTAAGTTTGTCCAAACTAGCTTGTTTTGTTGCTTTGACGAAATAACTGGACAAAAGCAGCTTAAGGAAGGAAGGGTTTATTTTGGCTTACGGTTCTAGGGGATACAGTCCAGCAGGGTGTGGAAGGCATGACAGCAGATGCAGGAGGTGGAGGTCACATGAAACCACAGTCAGGGAGCAGAGAGGGGAATGCTGGTGCTCAGCTCTATTTCTCCTTTTTTAAAATTTGTTTTTATTTTGTGTGTATAAGTGTTATGCCTGGGTGGGTGTGTAAGTGCACCCATGTCGAACAGTGCCTGTGGAGGACAGAAGAGGGTGTTGGATCCCCTGGAACTGGTGTTACGGACAGTTGTTAACCATCATGTGAGTGCTGGGATTCAAACCTGGGTCTTCTGTAAGAACAGTCAGTGCTTTTGACCACTGAGCCATCTCTCCAACCCCATTTCCCCTTTTTACTCAGTCCAAGACCCCAGCCCACTGAACAGTGCTCTCCATATTTAGGGTGGGTCTTCTCACCTCAATTAACCTAATCAAGATAATCTGCCCCTCAGACATGGCCAGAGATTTGTTTCCAAGGTGATTCTAAATCATATTAAGTTGATAAGCAAGGTAACTTGTCATACTGGCCTTGAATCTGCAATCACAATGCTCCTTGCCACCTCATTTACAATCTCCAAAAGAAATTCAGGTGTATGTAGGACTTGTTTCTTTGGGCTAGGGGTATAGCTCAGTGGTACAGTGCTTGTCTAACATTTGTAAGGCCCTGGGTTCAATCAGCAAGACCACCCCCAAAAGGAGAAAAAAGATTTTTCTTTGTTTTTCAAGCCCTTTGAAATGCTATTCCACTGCCTTCTGACAGCCTTTTTTTTTTTGGATGACAAGTCAGCTGCCAGTATTACTGGTGTTGCTTTGGAAGTGGCTCACTGAGGCTGGAGAGATGGCTGAGCAGTTAAAAAACAAGTATTTCTCTTGTAGATGACCTGAGTTGGGTTTCCATCTCCCACATCAGGCTGCTCACAACCACCTGTAATTACAGATCCAGGGGATCCAACACCCTCTTCTGACCTCTGCAGGCACTGCACACATATGCAAACACACACATACACACACACACACACACACACAAAATAATAATAATAATAGAATATGTTAGTGGAAACATCAGGTAGGTGGGTTACAGCAAAGTAGGGACCATCTCTACTATAGGCCTCAGTTGCTATCTGCTGACAGTCTTAGTTTTTGGATTGGTAGAAACTAGTGGCTTGCTAAGAATACATTTTAAAGGTATTTGATAACCATAAACATGTTAGGTCAGACATGGAGTTGGCAATGAATGGCTTTCAAAGGGACAGAAAAACAGCCCAAGTAATTTGACTTTGAGCTGAAACATTTTAACTCTCTATAATCACCAAGTTGAGTCATTTGGGCTTGAAGACTCTTTACACAGGTGTAGCTTTAAAAAAAAATAAAAGAAAGAAAGAAAGAAAGAAAGAAAGAAAGAAAGAAAGAAAGAAAGAAAGAAAAAAAGATTTGGGGACTGGAGAGATGGCTCAGCAGTTAAGAGCACTGGCGGCTCTTCCAGATGACCCGGGTTCAGCTTCCAGCACTCACCTGGTGGCTAACAACCATCTGTAACTGCAGCTCCAGGGGATCCGACTCCCTCTCCTGTTTGTGAGCCAGTGATGTGCTTACATCATGCGTGCAAAACACTCATACATATAAAAAATTTTTAAATGTGCTTTTTTGCGGGGGTTCAAACCAGTGACCCCCACGCAGTGATGATTGGAGATGAGTAAATGGGCTGTTCACCAGCCCATGCCGCCCCCAGTACCAGGAACACTCAGGCGCAATGGGGAGCCTAGTCAAGTAGGGATTCATTTATTGCAGGTGTTACAGAGCTTATAAAGGCATCTGGAAATCTCCCTCTCCCCCCGAGGGTGTATCTTAAGGATGGTCTCACGCTGATCATGCACTCCTCAGCAGTGCGGAAGTATCCTTCAGACTTTTAAAACAAGTCAGGCAGTGCCCCAGTAACTTCCTCTTGGATCTCTGCAAGGTGGGGCCTTTAGGTCCCCACATCTCCCCCTTTTATTTTTATTTTATAAGGCCCGACTGACTTTATTTCATGGGTTACCCGTCTCATAGACAGCTCCCTGAGGAGAGATAGCTACCTCCTTCCTCTAATCTTATGCATTTTTGCCTGTCTTAGGTTGTGTCACCTCTGACCGTCATTGGACTATGCACCTGGCCATGTGCATGTCCTGTCTTAAGAGTGCTTGTCATGGGACATCTTACCTGTCCTTGGCTAAAAATGTGTCATGATTAAGGGCAGCCGTGTGGGTAATGCCAGCCCATGACAGTCTTAGTCTCTGCCTAACTCGGTTAGCCAAGCGTGGGCAACCAGAGAGGCTATATTCCTGGGGGAGTCCGTAATCATGAGGAGGTGGGCTGTGGCAGTTCCAAGGGTCCTCTGTCACCGAATTATCTGGTAAAGACACTTAAAGATAAGCATTATCAAGAGAAACAAAGCAAGTCATGGCGTAGGACAAGTTGAAATACTTCTGAGACCATGTACCTTTTAGCCAATCAGCTAGTTGTCAAAGAGGCTGACTGGCAATGAAGCCAAGGAACTGGGTCCTTCACCTCAGATGGATACAAATAAAGAGAAGAATTTTGTCTCATGAACTATTGTCCATGAACCATCATGATAGTCAGTCAGATCCTGGCCTACCCACTTAAGGTTTTACACGGGCACCCATATGGAGTTTGAATCTCCTGTAGGGTAGACACAGCCAAAACCTCGATCCATGGTTAGCAATGGATCTGGGCCTCTCCACTGTCCTGTAATGGGGTCCTTCCACCTTACACGTACCTCAGGTCTCTGCTCCTGTCATCCCCAATGCTTCTTAAACCAGGATTCCAACTTATTTTTTTGAAAATTAAGAACACTAATAGCGAATAAGGCCATACCCAATTGTTGGTGGGAGATTATTCCCCCTTTTTGTTTTTATAATTGAAT